TTTATTAATAGGATTAGGGATAATTAGGTTTATAAATATAGGGGTATTGTACACTTTTTAATCAATCAATCATATATCAATACAAAGCAAGATTATTCCAATATAATTCTTATTTTCAATACTTATTACAAGAATTTCTAAACGCTTCCGCACCAGAAAGAAATTGGATTATGTTATGAATCAGTAAACTTATCTCTAGAACTTCACATGAACTTGAGCATTTATAATTCTGCAGATAATTTTCACCAACAGGCAGGAAGCAGAGTTGAGAAAAATCTTTTACAAACCTTCTCATGGTATTGTTTCACTATTTGTAAAAATTGGTCAACAGCTTGGCATGCCTTTGATCGAACGTCACTGCACCAAGTAAAGGAGAGTGAATCTCAAAAACCTAAACTTGCAAGACAACTAATAGACTGAATTGCTCATTAATCAACAGAAATAAGGTGCAAAGGGAACTAATACAACACAAGTATAGGGGTAAAAAAAGGAACTATCAAGGATGTGATGCCACAGCATTACAGGGACAAGAAGCCATTATAAATGGGGAAATAAGAATGCAAAATATATATCCAGCATTCAACCCACATGGGCTTGAGTCCACAGGCCCAAATCTCAGCCATAAAGCCATTAGACGAACATGCCATAGAGAATTTCATAGCACAGAGTGATAATAAATTTTCCAGTGATTAGGTGAACAGAAATATGGTTTCCAGTAATGCAAATTCGTGAGAGGTACAAAGACACTACAGGCATGCTGTATACCCTGTGTAAATTGACAGGATGCGTCATATTGAGAAATATATCTTTACAATAGTCAAAGTGTAAGATCAGGTAGTATTTTCGAGTTTTCTATGAGCCATTGGTTATATCTTTATAATTGAGGCCCACCTCAATACTAAATCCATCAACTGTCATGAAAAGGAATAAGATTGTAATGAGGGCCGCCACCATTATTTTCAGTAACCACAAATCAGCTTTACTGATAATTGTTTTGCATATGAAACGGAAAACAATGAAAAGAAGATGCCAAAGCATGTCTTATCTTAGAACATAAAAGTGTGAAACTCAGAAATAAAACCTCTAATGAAAAGGAGAATCTGATACTTCAAAGGAGAAACGCTAGGACTATCCTAACAAGGACTCTTAAAAAAAGGAATACCTGTCAGGATCAATGGTCAGCACAACAACATTTGGTAGAATTCGAGTCGCAATCTCTGTGACGTCATAATAAGAACTAGTGGCACATAAAGCCATAATACCTGGCACAAAAAGGGGTTTATTATTTTGGGGAGGGAGAAAGAAAGAGAGATTTGGAGTTATTGAAGAAAGACTGTTGTCTTAACCTAGAGTCATCTCAGCAGGGCGAAATCAACTGAATTACACATAAGTTTTCCTAAATGAGGTCAAGAAAACAGCAGGCTTACCTGCTCCTCGGGCAGGAGAGAACGTATCACGCAAAGCTCGAACTGTAAATGCATTTATCAGAACTCTTTTCCTCATCTGCATTGTAGTGAATTCTTAATTAGTAATTTTTCTCACAAATAGATTTATCCCAGAAATATATTACAATTTTGACCATTGACTCACTCAACAATCAACTTCTTCAAGGTTATGTAATCATTATAGAAAAGGAAAAATAGGAGGATCATGGCACTGACCCCGTCATTAAGGTAGCTTGCAATATTTCCGAGCAATATAGTAGTATTTGTTCTAATTGCCGGTTCTTCATCAACCTAAATCCATAGAAAAGTCAAAAACAAATCATGTGTATCAATGTACACAATTCACAAATAAAATTTAACTTTGTTGGCAAAAGGAATGTCAGTTCTATTTACCCTCAGATTGCTTAACTCATATTTGTGTATACCTGTAGTTTGGAAAGGAATTTCAGTAATGACCCTGATATAGTGCGCTGAGACAACTGTAAAGAGAAACAAGAAACAAAAAATAGAGGTATCAGGAATCAAAACCAGATGATGCTGCTAACTCAACCATCAGTCACAATCCATGCATCAATGGATTCGTCCCACAATCTCATGCCAGCAATTTCACTAATCAAGTTTCTAATTATCCAATTTCGATAAAATAATCAACTACCAAACAGAAAAAATGCTCCTAATATCGACTTCAACACCTGTGCATACACCTGTGAGAAATGCCTGTACAAAAGTTTATAAAAGATTTCTTGACAACTCCAATGGTTATTGACGAAGTAGCAACGAGCAAAGAGGAGTGAAGATTCGGAGATTCCAGAAAGACTTTTAAGCAATAAACTTTATAACAACTTATACGCACAAACAGAGAATTTCTGGCCTTATGCAAATTCTCCAAATTAATGCATGTTCATAAAATTACTAACCTCCCCAAGCCTATTGGAGAATCTTATACCTTACAAGTCTCTAAACTAAATGTAAACAGACAGGAAAAACAAGGAACATACCTTAGGAGCAAGAACAAGAATGGATTTGAGTGTCAATTCCCGTAGAAAAGCAGATGTGTCGGAAAAGCCGGTAGCAACATGAGGGTAAACCTAGAGAAACAAACATTAGACTTTTATACCACCCCATTATCCTACATAATATATTGTCAACGAATCAAAGGAGATTGAATATTTTGATTGTGTCACTATATGACTGCATACTTGTTCATCAACAACTTGTGAGGATAACGACTCGCCAAATTGATCAATATGCTGCAGAAGGCCAACTCGAATAGCACGATCATTTGATGCAAAAAGTTTGACCACTGTTGGTAATACCTACGAACAGAGATTGGGAATGTTATTCAAGAAATTAAAACCCAAGTTTAATCATAAGTACACACTTAGCCCCTGTTTGATAACCATTACTTGAAAACTATTTTTTCTACGTACTCATTTTCAAGTTTGAACCACACATTTACACAATAAAATATTTTGCACGTAAACCCCAAAACTTTTCTCTACTTTTTAACCACGCATTCTCCTAAAAATCACTATTCAAAACATTGTTGTGGCCAAATAATGGCCAACATGGGCTTAATTTATGGTATGGTAAAGCTCAGGCATGTAAAAGAAATAAATACAAGGTTGCAAAAAGATAATGAAAGATTTGAACCTTGAGACTAAAATCTTTGGCTGAAAGCCAAGAACCCATTTTCAACAATGCTGTCAAAGCAGGTGCAGCAGCTGAACCAAATTCTAAGGCGGATGCTAGTAATGGAAGCAACTGCAAGAAGCCAAAAATGCAATGGTTAAGAACTTTAAAATGATGAAAACGTCCCCACAGAATTTCGCAAGTTACCTTTTTCAGCACTATTTGGCGAGGAAGCTGCTCGGCAAGATTTGGAAGCTTACGAAAAAAGGTATCCTTTTCAACACTGTCTTTCAAATTAAGAATTTCCATAAAGTGTATAGTCTCCACCAACTTATTTTGAAAATATTCTGCAAATATATCATTTAACATCTTTAGGACATGAAAAATACTTTCTACATTCACAGGAAGATAATAAATTGAATCAGCAATGTTATGTTAAATTCATTTATAAGAAGAGGAAGAATGTATGCATT